TTTTTTATATTCAATTAATTATATAATATTTGTAATCATTTTTCATAAAAGAAAAGTATACCCCCTGCAGCCTGCTGGAAAAGTCTCTCTGGTGCGAATCTCTGGTCTGGAAGGTGTTTGTAAATCCAGGCCTGAGCAGTATTTATGAGCAGGGATGAAAATGAGAGAATTAACCCTTAATGAGGATCAGGCTGCTAAGAGGCTCTTGTTCATGACTGCATAGACGTCTCTGTTTAACTGTCTAGTCGTGGTTGGGTCACATTGACTCTACAGTGCTGTATAATGTACTTCTGCACAGATCACACTTGTATAAGCAGTGCTTGATCAGAGGAGTTGTTTTTTGGACACATACAGTAACATTATTCTGAAATCTACTTCCATTTTTATTAGATTTTGTTTCATGAGCCCATTAGCCAATTTTCAACAGTCTCTTTCTCACGTTCCTCCTTTCAGTATCTTTTTTTTCCCTCCGCAGTGCTGTGTTCAGAGAGAGTTGGTCAAATCACAAAGACGTATCATGACATTGAGGCAGTTACACATCTGCTTGAGGAGGTGAGAGACAATTCCAAACAAACTAGTTAGTGGAAATGATGCCACTCTCCTTCCATTGATGCTTCAGTGATGACATAATAAAAGTCCCGCACATGCTCGTCTTCCTCCGCAGAAAGAGCGCGATCTGGAATTGGCAGCCAGGATTGGCCAATCACTGCTCAAGCAGAATAAAGCTCTGACTGAACGCAACAAACTACTGGACGAACAGCTGGAAATCACCAAGGAAGAGGTGATTATTGCTAAAAGAAAATGTTTTCACTTGTTCAGTCCTTGTCTATACTTAATTTTCTATCTATCTATCTATCTATCTATCTATCTAAATGAAGACAGACAGACAGACAAAGGGGTTAGACACACAAACACACACATGCTTACTCTGTTTCACAGCGTTTAGAGAATGTCTGTCTGTCTGTCTGTCCTTCATTCTATCTATCTATCTATCTATCTATCTATCTATCTATCTATCTATCTATCTATCTATCTATCTATCTATCTATCTATCTATCTATCTATCTATCTATCTATCTATCTATCTATCTATCTATCTATCTATCTATCTATCTATCTATCTATCTATCTATCTATCTATCTATCTATCTATCTATCTATCTATCTATCTATCTATCTATCTGTCTGTCTGTCTGTCTGTCCTTCATTTTATCTATCTATCTATCTCTATCTGTCTGTCTGTCTGTCTGTCTGTCCTTCATTCTATCTATCTATTTATCTGTCTGTCTGTCTGTCTGTCCTTCATTCTATCTATCTATCTGTCTATCTGTCTGTCTGTCTGTCTTGCATTTGAATGAAAATGTTGAAAAATATTATGCATATACTGTATATAGAGTTTACTAACAGTGTCCTTCTTAATGCTATAATAGATGTTGATGCGCTCACAGTCTTGTGTTATATGGATGCTAACGCTGACTCTGGGTCTGTTCTTACAGATTGCCCAGCTGCGTCATGAGCTCTTCATGAGAGACGATCTCCTGCACTTCTATGCTAGCACTGAAGATATAGAGCATGCCTCAGAAACGCTGTGAGTTACACACACGCACACGCGCGCACACACACACACACACACACACACACACACAGTGATCAACTACTTAATTCTGCCATACTGATAAGTGTTTCATCCTCCTTCAGACTTATACAGAGTGATTCGTCCTCATCTCTCAGCAACTACGTCAATTATGACTTGCTGCAACAGAAACTCAAGGTTTTAGAAGAGGAGAACTTCAAACTGCGCACAGAGGTGTGTTTAAATGCATGCATGCATTCACAAAAAAATATCATCATGCTGTGCTACAACTAGTTTCATGTTTTCACACCCATCACTCTTTTTTTAGGCTAATGAGTTAACATTTGAGACGAACAATTATGAGGAACAAGAGCAACAGCTTATGATGGTGTGTGTGGACGAACTCTGTGAGTAAATCACCCATGATGCCCTTCTTTAAGTATCTCAAATAAGTTTTCGTGATAACAGACTAAAGTGTCCTCTGCTTTTTTCTCTCACCAGCTACAGTAAATAAACAGGTTGTATCTCTGTCAGAAGAATTAGGCCGGAAGGTGGAAGATTCGCTAAGACAACAAGAGGAGATTAGTGCCCTCCTGGGACAGACTGTCGACCTGGAGCAGCGCTGCAAAGGGGTTAGACACACAAACACACACATGCTTACTCTGTTTCACAGCGTTTAGAGAATACATTTTTATAAACAAATACATCAAATTTGCTTCCAAATTCAGTTCACTGCTGAGAATGAGGAGTTAAGGCAACATCTGAATGCTTCCCGGGAATCCCAGTCACAGCTTAAAACAGAGGTACAATCCTCACAATATCACAATATGCCTCCCTTTCAGTAAATGGCTTTGTGCTTGGAGTGCCAATTGATGATGTTCTGTCTCCCTCTGGTGGCAGCTGAAGGAACTGCAGGAGAGGTACTCAGAATGTGAAGACATGCTCCATGAGGCCAGAGAGGACATTAAGAACCTGCGCAATAAGAGTCTGCCCAACAGCACTGTGCAGCGTTATAGCACCCTGGCAGCAGTCCTCCCAATGGATTCACTCGCTGCTGAGATTGAAGGAACCTTCCGGAAAGGCCTAGACAGCCCAGCACCCACTGAATACAAGTTAGTACATTTAACAGCTGTTCATATACTGCAAAAAAAAAAAAAGTGTAATCAGCATTTTTGTTTTGTTTTACATTAAAAAATATCTAAAGATCTGTAAAACTGAGATCAAAAGATCTGTAAAAAAAAATATTTACAACACATTTAAAATATATTAAGTGTGTAAGATTTTCAGAAGGATAGAACTGTTCAAAAGTTTGAGATCAGTTAGTTTTTTTTGTCTTTAAAGAAATGAAGCATTTTATTCGGCAAGGACACATTAAGTTGATCAAAAATAACAGTAAAGATAATTATAGTGAAATTTATAATGATAATTATAAAAAAATCACAATTTCTAATAAAAAAAATTAAACAGCACCACAGTTTTGAATATTGATAATAATAAGAAATTTCTTGAGCAGCAAATCAGCATATAAGGATGATTTCTGTAGGAATGCGGCTTTGCCATCACACAAATAAAAAGTACTTTTAAAAATATACTAAAATATAAAAGGTATTTTAATTTGTAATTATATTTTACAATATTATTGTTTTACTGTATGTTTTATCAAATAAATGCAGCCTTGGTGAGCATAAGAAACTTCTATCAAAAACATCAGAAAAACTTTTGGACAGAAATATATTTTGAATTATATTTATTTATATTATAGTATTTTATAGAAAAATCATCCATTCTTAAATAAATTATTATTATACATAATTTTGAATTTCAAGTAGCCTAAACATATTTTGTTTTAACGTTTAGATATTTTACTGGGAAACAAAACAAAAATACTGATTTTTTGTTGTTGTTTTTTTTGCAGTTTATTCAAAGCCTAATTAACATGTTTTGTATATAATGTATATACATGTGAATGTAAATGTACTATATGTACCCAGGACTGCAACATGACATGTTTGTCTTGAATTCTCTGTGCAGGAATCATCCGTTGCGGGTGTTTGAGACCGTGAAAGTGGCCAATCAGGCTGCTCGGCTACGTTCCCAGATTCACTCTCCGCAGGTTCCGGGTTCGAGCCCTACGTCATTACGCTCTAGTCGAATCAGTACACCACGGACCAGTTATTACGAATCAGACAATATTAGTGTCAGCATGGAGGATAAGCACTCCCCTTCCACGCACACACAGGATCATGGGTCAGTGTCTGTTTATTTTCAACTTCTCACAATAATGACTGACTATTAAGAATGAATCGATTAACAATGAATAATAACATATTTCCTGCATAGGTTACTGGAGTCGAAGCGTTTGGGCCAGCCAGGTACGCCAGGTGGGCAGGATTTGGAGGAAGCGCTCCAGTCTCTCTCAGAGCGTCAGGAGAGGCACACGTCTGAGCGGCCGTTCTTCGAGGTGGAGAGAGAAAGGAAACTGCGTGCCCTGCAGAGTGGAAGCAACAGCAGTGGCGGCGGTTCCAGCGGCTTCCTGACGCCCAACGGCAGCGTCGCATCCACAGGAACCAACTACTCCGGCACCTCCACGCATTCCTCAGGCACGGGCTCCTCCCGCTCGTATCTGCCTGAACGGCTGCAGATAGTCAAGCCGCTGGAGGGTCAGTAGATATACACACGTATAGCTTAATACAAGTCATGAAAGAGGGACGTTTAGATCAACTCTAAAATTAGGGCTGTTCAAATTAGTGGTTGACCGATATATCGGCCGATATTTACCATTTTTTAAAAATATCGGCATCGGCTGTCAAAAAAACCAATATCGGTTGACCACTAGTTCAAACCACAAAATACAAATTTAAAAATAAAATAATGAATAAATAATAAAATAAAAATGACATTTTAGGAGAGTTGCACAATTTTACAACCTAAATTGCCATGTCATATAAAGATTAAATAAGGGATATTTTATTTACGTTTGCAAAGTCATGCAAGCATCCTCTCTATGATATCATTTCCTGGTTTATGTTTCTTCCTATCATGTTACCACGTATTTTCCTATCATGTTTCGGAGTTTTTGGTGATTTTTCAAATATTATCCCTGTAAAGCCAGATATATGAAATAATGGTCAGAAAAAAACTATTTTAAAGATGGAACAGTTTATTGAACCTTTAGAAAAATCAAAAAAGAAGGTTTGAGTATGTGTTTTTGTTAAGTATCATATTTGATACATCAGGCTTTTATGACTCATATAGTCTGATGTATAGGAGAATATGGAGCTCAGACTCAAGGAGGAAAAACATCTCAGTTTTATTCATTGGCCCAAACTGAACAAAAATATGCAATTTGGTGCAGTTGCTGATATTTATATGGTCAAAAAGTGAAATGAAATTCTGATAGCTTGTATTTTAAATACATGAGATCTTTATAACAATATAGCACTGCTTACACAAAATCCATATAAAAATCAGTTGTCACTCTGTATCTCCCAGTAATATGTCTGATATTTATATTCTTAGTTTTATGATCAAAGCTCTGTAGTTTTTATTGTGGGGGTGAAACATATAATTCAATTCAATACAATTATGAGATGAGAGATGAACAAATAAATGTTCATCAAAAGCCTGATGTATCATATTTAACACTTATATTATTAAATGATTTTTCTCAAATCATTCTAATACAATTTACATTTTCATCTAAAAATATTAATAAGAATAGTTAAGAAAGTTATTTCCAGATGCCTGAAAAATACCTTGTCCTCTTCAGCTAGTATATCGGTTAGAAAGTGAGTATAAGAAAGTTATTCTTACATTTACATTATAAAAATCAGTAAAGATTTGCAGCAAAAAGACACATGAACCACAACCTAAAAAACAATTTTAGAGTTACTCAAAAATGCCTTTTACTTGCTAAAAAGTCCTAACTATTAGTCAGGCAACAGAATGCATATAGTAGATTGTGCAAAGTTTTGATCTTGCTCATAATTTAGATGCCTTAGAAATTAGCATATCAAATATGATGCAGCAGGAAAGTGTGGATATTAAACTTTTTTAGTCTAAATAGATAATAATGAAAGATCATTTTACTGACTGGCTTCATCTTGCCATTGTCCACAGGCTCAGTGACTCTGCACCAATGGCAGCAGCTGGCCAAGCCCAATCTTGGGGGCATCCTGCACCCACGGCCAGGTGTCCTCACCAAAGACTTCAGAGAGCTGGACGTGGATTTCCAACATGTCTACAGCCTCAACGACCTCGAGGAGGATGAGCCTGATCTCTCCAAATTCCCCAACCTCCTGCACGGCACTGTGGGTAAGAGCCCATTCACCTACAGCAACACACTTCCTTCTTAATTCTTCAGTTTGTTTGATTTTTGAAGTGGACAAAACACTTCAGATCCAAAAAGATTTTAGTATATGTATATATATATATGGGGAAGTCGTGGCCTAATGGTTAAAGAGTCGGACTCGTAACCCAAAGGTTGTGGGTTCGAGTCTCGTACCGGCAGGGATTGTAGGTGGGGGGAGTGAATGTACAGCGCTCTCTCCCACCTTCAATACCACGACTGAGGTGCCCTTGAGCAAGGCACCGAACCCCCAACTGCTCCCCGGGTGCCGCAGCATAAATAGCTGCCCACTGCTCCGGGTGTGTGTTCACGGTGTGTGTGTGTTCACTGCTGTGTGTGTGCACTTTGGATGGGTTAAATGCAGAGCACTAATTCCGAGTATGGGTCACCATGCCATATGTCACGTCACTTTCACTATATACACACACATATATATTCTTTAACATACTATTGTAGATTACTTCCAAACTGTAGTCAGTTACTGGTTACAGATTACATGATGAAAATGTAGTTAGTAATGAAATCATAGTTACTCATTTTAGGTAATGTGATTTAGATTACTTTTTTTATCTGGCTTGTTTTAAACTTACTATTAAATGTACCATATTGATATAAAAAAGCAAAGAGAAAGAAAATACATTCCATTTTTTTATGTCATCCTCATAAAATAAATTAAACATTACATTAAACCAGGGTTTCTCAAACTGGGCTTAATGTAAGCCCATAAAATGAATGCTATCCATAAAAAGTAACTTTAATCTGATTATGAGGATTTGAAAAAGTAATATACTCTAATAACGAGTACTTGATTTTTGGAATCTGATTATGTAATCCAGATTACATGTAATATAATCTGTTACATGTTACTACCCAGCTCTGCTTCCTAGGTATTATCATGGTTTTAATCCACCCTGCCTTCAGTGTAGTGCTGTAGGTACCTGTCATGCATAGCTGAATTTTAGCATGTGTTTGTGTTTCCTCACATGAATGCAGTCCCTTCATCCGGATTTAACATCCCTCAGACCTCACCCACATCTCCGACCACTAGCTGTCAGATCCTCCATCCCTCCGTCCTCCTCTCCTCCTTCTCCACCAGGTAAGACATGATCACGCTGGTGCCCACACAGTGCTTATTATAAGACTGTCAATCATCCATCAGAATAATCTTGTTTTTTTTCTTTTATCGGGCACATGCATAAAACAAGACAATTCTTACTAGGGCTAGGCGATAAGGCCAAAAAAATCATATCTCTGTATTTTTTGGCCAAATTGTGACAAACAGTATATATCTTGGTATGTTTTATATTTTTCTATTTGGATTAAAAATGCATATATTTATTTTTATAAAATTACATCCTGCCCAATGTTGTCCAGTGAAACAATGTTTATATTAAAAGCTATGAAAACAAATATAGTTAATGTAACCATGTATTTTCCAGCGATATCGTCGACTTGATTGCACAGATAACTATTTAAACTGAACTGAGCTGGATGATGACATCACTGAATTCAATGATGAACTGCCTTTAACTGAAAATTGAGTGTTTACTATTGTCCTTCTGCATTATTGACTCACTATTTTCCTATTTAATACTGTAAAGCTGCTTTGACAATCTGTATTGTTAAAAGCACTATATAAATGAAGGTGACTTGACTAGGCTATGCTATGTATTATGTGGAAAAATGGGCTAAAATCACATTACATTCTAACATTGTAACATTACAATCTAAAAACAGAAATAATGCTGTTTAAAGCAGAAGTTAAACTCACTAAACTAAAAATGAAAATAAATAAAAACAAAAGCACAGATTAATTGCATTATATTTTGATTAGCCCATTAGGATAGTCCCTTACAGTTACAGCTACTATAAAATACACTTACTTGTAGGTTTAAAATTCTACATATGGCACATTTATTAACTAAAAACACCAGTAGGTGGCAGCAAGTCACTGTCTTAATCTGTGTTGCCAATTTAGCGACTTTTTTCCAAAAAAGTGCCTAGCGACAAATCTAGCGACTTCTTGGACAAACTTTATTTCGTTTCTGAGACTCGTCGGTACTGCCACACGAACTTTCCGAGCGCGCACACCTCTATCTGCGTCTGGTCTGTTCAGTGAGCGGCTGAGAGGAGCAGCGCTTTCAGTTAAAATAGATATTTTCTTGCTTCTAATGCAAATTTTACATGCAAATATAGCCGAAATTAAAGTGCAGGCATTGTCTTTATCTTATGTGTATTTGATTTCATCAGAAGACGCCTCAATTATAAATCAGGATTTTAGTGCAGATTAACATATTGGAAAGGAGAGTCTTAACTGGCTGCGATAATTTCATAATTATCCCATTGTCTGACAACAGAAACAGTAAAATATATAAATGAAAACAGTTTTATTGAGAATTTGGCTCAGTATGTGAGCTCAGAGAGGCAAATTTTTTTTAAAAAAGTAATAGAACCCAATGACGTTGTGAATATGCTAATTAGCGTATGACGTCATCTAGTGACATTTAGTGACCTTTTCAAGCTGGCTTTAGCTACTTTCCATTGAAAGAAGTTGGCAACACTGATCTTAATGAGTGAGTCATTCATTCAAAAACGTTAATTCGTTCAATAACAAAACACTGCTGTGTGTTGCTCAGAATCGCACAACAGTTCTGCTGTGGCTTAATGGAACTATTTTCGTTGGCAAAATTTTTCAAAAACAGGTAATACTGTGTCTAAAATGTAACACAATATTAACTTTTGTTTATTGAACTGTTGTATAAAATCAATATCACATTTGCAGTTGTGCAGATATTTGGAAAACAAGCAGCACTCTTGTTCATGTGACATTGCTAAACTATCATAGGATATAAATGTAAGACAAAAACCAATACAGGGGAATTTTTCCCCTAATGTCTTGAATTTTAGGGGCATACAATTTAATTCTAGTCGTGCAGTTCAGACGTTGTCAATTTAACACATCTAACGTGTAAAATCGACAGCCCTAATTTTTCCATTTAAAAACAATTTAAATTAGGCACTTGGAGGAATATCAGAAATGTCTTTATCTGTTCACAACTAACCTTTATCTTAATATTTAGTATTTACTTGCTCATTTTCCCTCCTTCCGTCTAGGAAGCGCTGGAACCAGCTCTTTGTACAGTTATAATATCGTCCTCCATAAAGTAAGACATGTCAGGCATGGTCTCTTTGAACCCTTTACTAGGATGATCCGTCAAATTGCTAACTCTATCCACTAACTTTCTTTCTCTCTAACCTTAGGTTTCATTCATGAACAAACAAAACATCGTAGCATAACAGCATCAGGACATTATATTACTAATTCTGTCTTCTCTCCTGTACAGATTTAGGTTTAGGTGAGAAAGCTGCATGTCTCATGCATTACACATCTGTTTTAAAATAACGCTTTTCTGCTAAGGTTATGTTTTATTGGGGGAAGTTAATGTAGTAAGATCATTCTCAAAAAATGCTGGTTATGAATTCAGCTTAATTCTCATAAAAGTTGGTGTTAAGTACTCATTAACATCTTCACATTACTAATCTGGACTATTTTATTTTATATGATTGAAACATGGATTGGAACACCAGTCTATCTATCTCTCTCTCTCTCTCTCTCTCTCTCTCTATATATATATATATATATATATATATATATATTCAGAATACTCGTTTATTGACAACACTAGAGACATTAAATAGTATATATAATATATATGTAAAGTATACCTATGTTGTAAAATGTAAACGTAAACAATTTTATATTATCATTAAAACGTTATAGAATGAAAAAGCCATTCTTATGCAGGGTTTCATGAATATTTGAAATCTTGACTGAAATGTCATATTTTGAGAATGACTCACTAACACTAGACTGTGCATGTTACATTGAAGCCTTTCTTTATATGCTGCTAACCAGCTTGTGGAAGTCTCATCATTACATTCTTTTATTCATCAGCATGATCATACACTATATGCTGTGTGTTTCTAACCGAAAAAGCTTTCACTATCACTTGTGTTCTGGCCTGTTTATTTCTGGCATGGTTTGACTGAGTACCATCTGACACGCATCTTCCTTGTTCTCTCCTCAGCCTTCGGCCCCGCAGTGCATCCGCTTGGGGGAGCTGTGAGCACGTGAGGACATCATCAGGCCTCCAGTTCATCTCTGGGTCCACATCACACCTCCACCAGACCTCCTCCCTCGGTCTGCTACAACTTGTATCAGAGCACGGCATCTCGGCTGCAATTCATCCCAACTCCCCTCTCATTCACAGAGCCACCGCATATTCCGAGGAAACACAGCGGGGCTCTGATGGAAGTGAACAAGAAAAAAGAGAAAAGGAATGGCAGGGAAACATTTTCAGCGTCAATCTTGTGGAAAAACTCAGAAGCCTGGGCCTGTACAAAGTGGTTGCCAGAGGCTTTGTGGATTTTGGTCGAAAAGAAAAACCAGCCCCCCATGAAACACAAAAAGACGTTCACCATTAAAGGTACCATTTTGTGCATCACCCTCATTGTGGCATGCAGCTAAACTTTTCCCATTTGTAATGGGATATTCCGAAAGCCATATCAAGTTTTTATTTCTGTAGTGACTTCTTATTGGCACTGGGAATTTTAAGTATGGACTGCACCTCAAAAAATTCTGAAGTCAAACACATCTGTGTTTATATCATTGTTGTTGCAGGGTGTTTTAAACACTCTTCAGAAGGGAATAGCTGTACATATGTTGACTTTTTAACATGTCCTCTTTTGTTGAGACTTTGTCTGTCACTATCAGTCTTGAAATCACTGTTTTATTGTTATGAAATTGTAGCAGCACTACAGAAAAATGCACTACGTGGCCTCAATTTTTGCTTGCTGCCAACCAAGCATCGTGTCAGTAGTGCGTTTTGCTTCATAATAGCACTTTTCAGGGCATTCAAATCCCTTTTCTTGAGGAATGCAGGGTACATTATGTGAGGTTATGTACTGTACCTGCAGTCTAAACGCTGTAAAAATGAGAAGCTGTATTCATGATGACTGTTGGTGGTCAATTTAGGGAACATTATAGTCTTGTTGAGTGAATAGATGTGATCTTGTGCTTTATTTTCACTGTGCTTTAATGCAAGAACACCTCATGTGATGGTACACCATGCACACACGTATGTCATGCAACTTTAATGCCACAGACACGTTTTCACCGTAATGTTTGTAATGTATATGATTGTGTTTTGCAAGAATCAGGGATGCAGTAGTAAAGTTAAGTGCTCTAGAGCTGTAAATTGTGAATACACAATCGGGTAATTCTAACACAGAGTCGTCTAGGGGTGAATTTGTATCACAGGATTATTCATTGAACACAGCTTTGTTTTCTTCTCCATCAACATCTTCCATTGTGTCCACTTGTGTTTGTCAACCAAGTGAACAGAAATATGGTAATCTGTATATGGAGAAAGCCTTGTATGCGTTTGAAATGTTCAAAGGGGCATGATAAGGTGTAGTATTTACTGATCTAAAGTCTCAGACAAAATGGTTATTTAAAAAGTAATATATTTAAATAAAAATGTCTACCTGAAATGCCACTCTGTGTAAAACACAATGCATGGTCGCCATTTTTGTAGAATATGTAAAGTGTTGTTTTAAAACAGATTTAAGTCAGTAAAAGTAAACATTTATGTAAAGTATTGTTAATTTACACAAAGATGAGAGGCTAATAGCGGAGTAATCATTGTATTTTTACATTAGAACAATGTTTAGACACATAGCCTCCCATAAAAGCCCATGAGTTCACAAGTAACTGTTTCAGGCACTGATATTGTGTATAGCAATAAAGATTTCAGTGTATTTTTGACCTATATGTTTTTATTTGTTTATGTGTGAACTGTTTCTATTTACGCTGACAGCTTTAACAGCTAAGTTAAGAGTATCCACCTTATTTTTCGACGTGCTAGTAAGCCGTTTTTTGTAAATGTGCAAGACTTCCGGTTTGTAAATAACGAGAAGAATAACAAAGTCAAGTGTCGTAAAAACTGTTGTGTTCATAATTAAGACAATACATCAAAAAATAATATGGTGTTTGCAATATCAAGCAGCAAAACGTGCATTTTGTACAGCTAGAAAAAGCTGGAAGCGAATGACACCGGAAGCCTCGCACATAAAATTTACAAATGGCCGCGCCCACGGGCAAAATAAGGTGGATAAAAATGGGTTGTGGCTAGAATAGATACAGCTACGGATGGAAAGATAGTTTTATTAACGCTGAAAACGCAGTGTGAATCTTGTTATAGTTGTACACTGACACTTAGTGGTTTCACACAAAGCAAGTTCGGTTACAAATGCTATTGTAAAAGTGTTATTTGCAGTCAGCCATTATTGATTAATTTTTTGCAAAAATTGTGTGCAATAACGGGATGGTTACTGAGAAACTTAGTAGTATTCTGTTGGCAATTTCAACATCGCTTTCCCCAAGAGGCGACCCGCTCCATGTAGCCTACAATAAAACAGCATTTTTAAGGCTAGTGGGCTACTGTTGAAAAACCAGCATATGCTGGTTAGGTATGTTTTGACGCTGGGATGCTGGTTTAAGCTGGTCCTTTGCTGGTTTATGCTGGTCTTTGCTGGTTTAAGCTGGTCCTTTGCTGGTTTATGCTAGGGTGACCATACGTGCCATTTTCCCAGGACGCGTCCT